CCGAGCCCCCCCCCCCCCCAAAAACCCACACAATTTGCCCCCCAAAAAAAAAAAAAAAAAAAAAGTTAAATGCTTAGACATACCACTCCTGTACCAGGCAGTTTTTCATAGTCAATAACTAGCAAGCCCTTGGGTACGGAGGAAGGAAAGGCTTGCTTTACATATCAATGCTTAGAAATATTCTATAATTCCACTAAAGGCAATGGTTAATCGTCGGGTGCCAGTTAGGGTGATTACATCTGCCATCTCTCAGAGAAGCTGGGATGCTGTCACTCACTTTGAAATGGCTTGCTGCATTCATCAGTCTAGATGGCACAGAGAAGTTATAACCATACAAGCCATATGGAGGATGTAAAGAACAATTAAGTGCTTCCCGAGCAATGGGACTTGATGGGAAAATGTTTCCAGATGCATGTAATCCATACAGCATTTGACTAGCAGAATTGGGTACTTGTAGACATTGCCCGTTTAAGTCTTCAGCTTTAGCATTTTTCAGATTTGTGATGCCGAGGGAAGAGAGTTTTGGCATATCCACCATGAAGTGGGGTACGAGAGGTGGGTTGGTGCCCCCCAGTTTTTCGTGGCTTGGAAAGATGAGAGACTGCTGTCTTAAGAAGCTCGTGGGACAGATCTTGTAGTAGAGGGGCACGTTGAGGTTGTGCAGGTAGGTCTCGGGGCACGACACGCCGATGTTGCTGGCTGACAAGTGAAACGTAGGAGGTGAGCACGACGGAGAGAGCAGGGGGTTGAGAGGAGAGGGTGTCCCGCCACTGGAGGTCACTGGTGAAGAACTGGAGCTCCCACCTGAAAAGGAAAACAGAAAGCATCCAAGCTGGGCGAGCTGCTGTTCACAGCCCAGGAACCCTTGGAGGACTCCTGCTCCCGCTCCGCCTCTCCCTGCTGCCGGTGTCCATCCGAGCACAAACCCGCTCCAAAAATCAGCTCCTGGAAAATGGGAAGATCTGTCCATAAATTATTTGTTGTGGTTACGTGGCACTTGCCTGAGAAGAATATTCACACGTGTCTAATCCCATTCATTTCACCAGGACAGCAACGAGCTTCAGCTCCACACATACAGGTACCTGATGGGTCCCTGCCTCGCCACACAACCAATAACCTTCTCCTGTTATACCCACACCACTGATATTTTAGTTCCCTTATTTTTCATTTGAAATTACAGGCAGCTTTTCCCCCTTGTATATAAGAACAAAAAAAAACCCCACGTATTCAGCCTGATGGAGAATTATTTTGTACCTTCCTGCTCACAGGAATTGCCTAATTTCACTCGGCGTCCCGTGCAATTTATTATTATTATCCCTTGGATACCATAGGTGTCTCCAGAAACTTGAAATGCACCACACAAAGGAGGATTTGAACATCCTCCTTTCTGAAAGGGATCGATGAAGGCTTTCACCATGTGGTAGAAAAGTGACCCGGGCTCGTTTCACGCGCACGAGGGCTGCCGAGGCCACTGGTGCACAACGGCACCGTGCAGCACCAGCTTCCCTGGAGAAACACCAGGAGCAGAAACTAAGGAGACAGCAACTGTTCTGGAGCCAGGATGGTGCTCTGGAGGTGGGATGGTGCTCTGGAGCAGGGATGGTGCTCTGGAGCTGCCGGCCCCGGTGCTAAACAGATGCTGGTTTCATCTAACGCCATTTAAGAGCTGTATCTCCACTGCACATTCATTACCACATTCTTCCAGAGGTCCCTCCCCCCAGCCCTTATTTTCCTTTCTTACCAAAGTCACTGGAAAGGGAAGGAAGGGGATGTGCATCCATTTTTGCTCTATATGTTTTTATCTATTTAAATTTAATTCCAATCAATGTACCGTCTTGACGTGATCCGAATCGGCTTTACACACAACCCACAACACAGAATCCACCGTACGACCACGTCCTACCTGCTCATATACCAAACCTTAAAAAAAAACAAACAAAAAAGATTTTGGACACGGTGCAGATTAATTTTGGAAACTCCCAACAAGCAGAGTGCCCTAAGGGTTGGATAACGGGCAGGAGGCACCTATTCCCAATCATCCGGGAATGTTTCACGGCGTGAAGGTCTCACCCTTCCCCGCTGCTGTCAGAGGCTGTGTCAGTCCTGACACCAGCAGGAGCAGGGCAGGGATCTGGTCCTCTCCTGACGTGCGTGTCCCGACATCCTCCCAGGACTCAGGGACTTTTGGTCACGTAAAATGATGGGATTGAGCCAATATTTGTGAGTGTGAGGCAGCAAACGCATCCCCATGCAGCCGGCTGCAGCAGAGCAAAGAAGCATTAGTATTTGCTTCAAGGTATCCCAAGCAATAATATCACACAAATTCCCAAAGTTTGGGAACAGGGATCACAGCGGGGAGGACTGAGCAGCCTTTGGGCTGAGGACTGAGCAGATTCTTTCTGCCGTTTCTATTAGGCTTAAAAATCCCAAGTTTATCGTCATTTCTTTCTTCAGCGTATTGTTCCTGCTTGCTTTTAAATTACCTTCTGGTTTGGGGGCTTTGGGATTTCTATTTTTCAGCTTTTCTTCAGAAATACAGTTTTACTAGTAGTGGAAATGGAGATTTTGTTATATTTACATCGGTTCAGAGAATTGACCCTGAAGAAAAGTACCGATTACACTAAAAATATCAAAAAAAAAAAAAAAGAAAAAAGAAAAAAGAAAAATGATCCCAGGAATCCCTAGCATTTTAGCATCTCTACACTAAGATGTACGGCACTGAATCGCAGTCTGCAAAATGGGTTCAAAAGGGGCTTTTCGCATAAGGTATTTTCTAAATAGTAATTAAAAAAAATAGTTAAAAAAACTCTAGTTCTCTTTACAACCCAGTAAACCTCTTAATTTCTCCCGAGTTTGATTTTTTTTTATGCCTCCGTATTTCTACGCCTGTACAGCAGGGATTTTCGCTCTGATTTTTTCCAGTATTCCCCTGATTCCGTGTGCCTTGACACAAATAACTTTGAAGAATTCCTAACATAAATGAGAGTTAAACTGAAGACTTTAAACCCAAACCGGAGTGCTCCAGTGTACAAATGCTTGGTTAGTTGTTTTTTTTCCTTCAGCCTTGTGAATAATCAGTGTTCAAATACTATTTCCAAAAGCCGTTTTTCTGGAAAAGGGCTGGAAGAGACCGATGTGCGCTCGTCGGGAGATCGTTTTCCCCGAAAAACTTCTCCCTCTTCCCTGCATTTCTCAGAAGTTAAACGGGCTGTGGGTCTGCTTCATCCTAAATAGCAGATCGCTTTATTTTCTGTTGAATAATGCATTTATTCGCAGAGAAGCAGCCGGCTGAGAAGACACGGCCGGTCACTATTACCACCTTTTTAGCTAAAATTCTCCAACGGGTTGGAAACAATTAGTGTAACAGGATCAAAGCCGTAACAACCCGGCTCTAAATTAGCCTCCTGCGTTCTCTGATTTTTTTTTTTTTTTTTTTTTTTTCTAATTCTGATTTCTGCCAGGTGATGAAGGCAGCCCGCGCCGTCACCCTCCTCTTCCCGGGGCGACTTCTCTGCTCCTTACATCGTTTTTAACGGATATTTTTTGCCGAAAAAAAGCGTGGAATTGGCATCCTAAAACGTTCCGTTGGCCGCCGGTTCGTTTTCTGCCCCCATGTCCTTGTTTTAATGACTTAAACCCCCCCCGACTCCCCCGGAGACCTCCGGGCGTGCGGCCGCGGTGCAGCCCGGAGGCCACGGGGAGAGGCGGGGAAGGCAAAAAAGGCAGAAAAAAGGGCCTTACCCTGGCTGTCTGCGCCGAAGGCCTTGAAGTCCAGGGCGAGGGGGGATCGCCACGGGTAGGTCTCCAGGAGCCCGTCCAGGACCCCCCTGCGGGGCGAGACGGGGGCTGAGCGCGGCGGCGGGGCCGGCGGACGCCATGGGGCGGGCGGTGGGGCGGCCCCCGGCCCTTACCTGTTCCTCCCGGGATCCCGAAAACCTTTGGCGAAGGGATTCCTGTCGATCTTGAGCTTCGTGATCTACGGGGAGGGGAGGGGGGGGGAGGTTGGGAGAGAAAGGGGCGGGTTGGGGCGCGGGACGGGCCGGGACCGGCCGGCGGGGGTCTCCCTCCCCCCCCCTCCCCGGGACCGATCGGGAGAGCGGCG